GTAGCAAAATGTGCTGTTTTTGTGGGATCAGTGATTTATTTTGTGTGTCAAAGGAGAAAAGCAAAGTGTCTTAAATGCTAATTTCTGTCTGACTTAACGTGCAGTACTGTATAAAGAATTTAGCACCTCATTTATTAGCGTGAGTACCCTGACTACTGAGTCCTTATCACAGTGGCCAAAGTTTGAGTCTCTCCTGGGCTCTCACTCCTGCTCCCCTTTGTTTATTCGTCTTACTATAAAGACAAAATGCTCCATTAAGTCTTTTCATACTTTGTTGTTTCCTGTATTGATATCTAAAAAAGCTGATGATCTTAACACCTGCCTTTTTTGCTGAGCGAACCTGAGGAAGACACAGGCAGAAAGCGTTGTTCGCTCACAATTAACTTATTTTCAGTGTTCTTTCAACCGTGCACACCTGAAAATGTGTTATGCTGTGCGCAGGGTACCCTGTTGGCCATTTAGATTAAACCTGCCTTTGTGAAACACTTTGTATCTTGTGTTTTGAAAAGTACTCTTCAAATAAGACTACTATAACATTTAACTTCTAGCAGAGCTGGATCAAAATCATTTGTAGTCATGTTAATCCATTGAATGGTTTAGTCTCTACCAGTTCCTTAGAAAAATATGTTTCATAAGCTACTCAATTTTCCACCTTCTTCCCAATCAATTTTCTTTTTGTTTGGTGTTTTTTTTGGTGGGTCGAGAGCATGCGACAGGTTTATCAGAGCTGTTTGCACCAAAAAAAGTGCCTAACGCTTCAATGCTGTAAACAGGGTTAATGAGAGTGCTGACTCTGAACGAACAGAATTTTTTAGTTTGGAAACTCTGTGGGAAAAGAGTTCAGTTGGGGGTGAGGAGACTGGATCAGATGTGATTGCTGTCACAACTGGATTCATCAAAAGAGCGTCCAGACAGCAGAAAATTCAAAGGTGACATTTCATCTGTCTAAACTGCCAGAAGCTGAAAGTCACTGAGCTGTTTCCAGTCATGTCCTGGAGTGCAAAATGTCTGTATGTTTTAAAAAATTAAGACTACTTCATGCATTAGGATACATAATACATGACGTGAAATGTATAAAGAGCACTTGTTCAGGCTTTAAACCTTTAATAAAGTATGTGACTAGTTACAGAGCTGTGCTATGTTTTGTAGGAAGTACTGAGTATTACAGATTTTATTATTGATTACTTTTGTCATTTAGGCTGTTCAAACAAGAAGTAAGTGCTTTTTAATCAATTTACAGTTCAATATTCTGTCTACAATTCCCTTTGGTTTAAAAAAAATGTGTTGTATAACATGCTGTAAATCGAATATCTGTATCATCTCAAAGAATTTCTTAGAAATAAATGTCTGTTACGTCAATGAATGATAAAACACAATGTTGACTGAGCCTGTAGCCCACTCCGAAATGCCCTTGAATTTACAGTACTTATAACAATTACTTGTTTGCTCGCCAAATTCCTTTTTAAAAAATGTGAAGCACATTGATATGATTTTCATCACCATGGAGTGACTGGTTGGTCATAGGCCCCACATTGTTGCTTTTGAACTCACTTCAGAGTGTACTACTTTTTTTCCGGTCTTTGCTAGAATCGCAGATCAATCGTTACTTATGTCACTTTGGAAAAGTCTAAAAACAAACAATTATCTTCATAGGTGCTGTAAAAGAAAACAAAATCATCATCTTATAGACTGTTTATATAATCTTCGAACTCTGGGTGGATTTACAAAACTCTCCCAGATGCATGTTTGCTCATTCTTTATAATTCAAGAGACTGCTGTTTTTGTCCTCTGTGAAAATAAGTCAACAATGAACAATTGTTTAAGCCTAAACTATGCTCTTTTTCTAAACCAGAACTTCTGTTGCCTTAACCTTAGTTAGTTAGAGCACCGACATCTAACCACAGTGTTTAACATTTTAGAAACATTTTGGAACTACTAGTATGTTAGAAGGGCTAGGAATAGTCCCAGCTTGTTAAATTGTCATTTCCCACGGGGTCATAAAAGTAGATCAAATAAACAGAAACAATCAAGTTTGGTGATGTTAAGATAAGGCTATGCTTTGAACTAAAAAAAAAAAGTAGAACAATGTTCATCTCCCTTCAATTTGCGTCCTTCATTTACCCCAACCTGCACGTCTCAATACTTTATCAAACACAGAGCGCAAGGACAAAACAATATATCTAGGGGTTTGTAAATGTAGGATCATATCATCTTACATCAACCCAGTCGAGATAAACATTTCACATACAGAATATCAGTTATTGCTTATTTCCACATATAACTGAAGGGATATCCCATTGAGTCAGAGTGAAACTATCAGAAAGTTAAGATGTTATAAATCTAAACATCAAGCTCAAATGTCACTTGCCTTCTCTTACAAAGAATTAAACTAAATACTGTGCTATTGGATTGTATAATATTTGGCTACACAAGGTGAGTTTGTAAAGATGAACGCACTTTGTCTGGTGGACTTTAAAAGGTTAAAGTGATTACAGTTCTAAAAGCCCGTAATAACATTTAGTCTAAACCGAGAAGGTATAAAAATAACAGACGCTACCATTAATGACCTCAGGGGGGATTTTTATCTCAGACAGGCTTTCTTTACTGTTGGCTTTATGCCTGCCCTGTCAGCCTGACAACAGCTGAGCAGAAGGGAAAACAGTATGACTGCTAATAGGCAAAGCTTAGTAACATACCAAAGCAATCATGGATTTCTTAGAAGTGGAATAAGTGGCAGAACAATCGTGGAGCAAGAATTAACTGGCATTGTAAAAAACGTAGATAAAGAAAAGGAAAGAATAGACAACATACAAGAGCTGCATAATTGTATCCACCTTTGCTTTCACTCCCTCTTAGTGTCCAAACTGATACGACTACTTAAATAAGAAATGACCTGCTGCCTTAAAGCAACAAAACTCTTCAGTTATTCATTTACAGTACAGCGATCAATAGCCTTTACTCTGCAGATGAGAGACAACGTTGTATGGAGAACATTGATTGGAAAACCATGGACGGTTAATTTTGTCATTAGTATTCTATCCAGCTCAGCTTGATTCAGTAAGAGGTCCAGAGACTTTCTGCAGCAGTCCTGAGTAAGATTATAGTCCAAAGAGCAGATTCAGAGAAACTCCAAACACAAATTACTCCAACAGAGTATGAATCTTCTTTGGAGAAACTATGGAAGGACAGATAAAGCACTTTAAGTTACCAAGTGTTTTGTGCCACTAAAATAGAGAAAAATACAAGGATCAAATTCAAGTGTGAATATGATAGTGCATGTTTCTTAAATCTTGAGGGCTGGACTATGAAGCCACAGTCAACCAGAGGATCTGTGCTGCAGGATTAAAATATATATCTAATGTTCCAGGGACCTTGACCCGGTAAAGCCTACTATGTATTATAAAACAAGCAACGAGGGGATAAAGGCAAATCAGTCAGAACATGCTCTCATCTCTTTCTAATAATCAAAATCCTACAGGTGCAGGATTTTGAATTATTTTAAAGGTAGGTGCCCCTCGTATGGCTGAGCTCCACATAAAGTGAATTACAAAAATCAACAAGGGAGGAGATAAAAGTCTGTACAACTTTATTGAGATCACTGAGGGTTAGAAAGGACTTTATTAGCTATAATCTACGTCTGTCTGAGGGAACAAAGTGGTGACCTTTCAAACTACATACAATTAAATACAAAAAAACCTATAGATATCTAACCTTTTGTGGTTGTTTCTCTTTGTCTAAGCAGTATTGTGTCCACTAATTTACTGAAAATAGTGGATGTAAGTTAGAATTGGGGCTGCCTTTCTAAATTCAAACTATACTTTTCCTTTATTTGTGTCGATTTAAGTCTTATTGAAAATGATCAAATCTGTTGTCCAAGAGAGCAGCATAATATAACATTATTGCTACAAGCAGTGCACTTATTGTAATACTGAATTAATAGAACAAGGATCAGGTACTAGTAAAAAATAGAATATCAAGTAAGGATCTTTTTACATGTTGGGAATTGCTAAAATATCATTTTCTAAGAAAACACAATTCATAATACATACATAGTAAAAGCATTGAGTATGAGTTTGATTTTCCAGATGCTTCAAAATGGACTTGAACCTTGTTACAGACCTAACCCCTCTTACGTGCGAGCACGGGCAAAAAGCATGAACAAGTAAAATCACAAAATCGATCAGAAAAATTGGTGTGTAGAGCATGGGGGAAAAAAGAGGCAAGAGCAGTTTTGCGAAAAAAACACAGATTTGATTTCAGCACCATGGACACATATTGCTCTCATAAAAACCAAGGACCTCACAAGGTTTCCTCTAAATCAATCCTCACTGTGCACAAATCAGACATGCTCTTTTATCACCCTATTTGCTAATGGGCTTTCTTTACACTATGCAGTATTGACAATAATGCACTATATGGGCGCAATCTAAATTCTGAGTTTATAGCTCCTGAGCACTGGAGCCAACACCACTAGCACCACCCACACTATACACACACCCCCTATTCCATGTACCAGCTGCTATGAGGGGTCCAGTTACATGCATGCTTTGTAGTAGTGGTCTCTGTATGGTGTACATGTACACAGCTTTTACAACTAGGGTAGCAAAAAAAGTGATATCATTGATTAATCTGCATATTATCTTCACTTTTCAATGATTGATAGCTTTGGCTAAAAAAAAGTCAAAAAAAATTTAAAAGGCTAATTCAATTTTTCAAGGGCCAGAGATGTTTTTAAATTTGAAAGAAAAAGCTGCCAAAGTTGCTTCAGACAACAAATGGTTAAATGAAATAATACAAAGCAGGAGCTCTTATAAACAGTAGGTATACAGCCATGTTGTTATTATAAACAACAGGCTGTAGGACAAGCACAGTGCAAGAAGTTTCCATAACTGTGACAGATCTCTGTAATTATGCTCCTGGTTTATATCGTATACTGACAGTATGCATTTGCATTCTGCAGCGGTGTGCAGGTTTAGTGCAAAAGAAAGAAAAACACTTACCTTCACCGCTTCAGCATGAGTGACTTTGTCGAAGACTTTGTCGTTGACTTTCATGATCTGGTCACCGATCCTGAGACCCTCTTTTTCCGCCAGGCTCCCCGGTTCCACTAGAGACACATAGATGCCGACCCCGTGCTCCGAGCCGCCCCGGATGCTGAAGCCCAGGCCCTCGTTGCTCTTGTGCCGCTTCATGTTGACCTGCCGTATCTCTCCAGGCGGTTCGTGGATAAAGTTTCTCCCAAGCAGCGGCACCAGGGGAGCTGTCCCCTCGCTGCTGGTGCTGAAGCTGTCCGGAGAACCCCGCAACGCGACCTGATACTCAGGCTGGTTGTTTGGGGAAAAATGCCCCGAAGGAGTCGGGCTTGCGCCTGGGAAGTCACCCGGTGGGGGTTCAGCGTTGCCATTGCTTGCAGCTAAATCCGATTTTAAATAGAGGCCCTCCGAGGTGTACTGCTCGAAGAGGAGCTGATCAGAGCGGGGGATGACCAGCCGCAGCATGGGCAGAAGTTGCCTCTTGCTGGGCGCATTGAGGATGACGTTCAGGGTCTGCACCAGGTCATACACGTTCCTCTTGGAGTGGTAAACGTTGAGGCAGTGGATGAACTGCTCCCTCTCGAAGTCATTGAGCAGGAGATTGAGAGCGTTGTGCAGCTTCTTCACGTTGGCCGACAGAGTCCGCGCGCTGGAGGCCACGGAGTTGGCCGAGGAGCTGAGCGACATGCGCTCCAGGTCGGTGCTGCTCATCCTGGCGGTGAGACCGGGACACGGCGCCACACTGGTGCGGGGTTAGAGAGCAGGCATTGCGGGCTGGTTGCACGGGATTAGACCGGCGCTTGGCATCACGACCACTGGAGGACATGCACTCCGTTTATATCCATTGTTTCAGGCTCAGACAGTGTATCCACTTATTACTCGATATTTGCCGCACAGGGCGATGACAAGAGGAACTTCAATAGAGTCCAACAAATTCCGTTTCACATTTGACACACATTAATTAGCACTTACCGTCATTTAGATATCAGTAATTGAATTGGACAAACTTCAGGAGCGGAATGCTGCGTCAGGACTGGACATGCAACAGCCTGGTGGACACTGTTCCCGCTCCGTCAGAGGGCTTAGTAATGAGCCACGTAAGGATCTCAGCGTGCGTGGCATTAGCTAAGGTCTAATTTTCCAGGAGGTCAGGTGGCTGACGAGCCTCCGCTTCTCTGGTGTCTCGCTCACCGCCAACACACACATACACACACGTAGACACACATACACACGCACATACACACACATACACACATATACACACACACACACACGCACACACCGCAGCAGCAGCAGCTCCACAATGAGGAATAACACAGCACAACTTCAAGCGACTTGTAGCCTACTTGTTCCACTGTTGGAGCGGAAAGAAACGATAATTCCTCGGCGAGGAACAATAAGTTAAAAAGTTATTTTTGTGCTCCTTCTCAGCGTCCCGTTGAGTTCATATATCCCGCTCAGGTTTTAGTTCCAAACGACGTCAAGTTAATAACAAAATATCCCTCCAGCCTTATTTCACGCTCGAAGCCACATGTAGTGTAACTCGAGTCGGTTGTTTGTTGGTGTTTTTCTTTGATATCCGTCTGAAGTATGAATGTGAGCTGCGGCTCGGTGTCTCCCCTTCCCAGACGTTACTACAGCGACGGAGTGCGGACTGGCGTCTCTCTCCTCCTCTGACCGTCCTCTATCAGGAAGTGACGCAGCCATGAGTAGCCAATCAACAACTCGCACTTTAGACACCAATAAATAACCAAACAGGTGTTTCATTAGACATTATGGTAGCCTACATTTGATGTGCTGATTGGGATTTTGTTTTAAGTTGTAAAATATCTAAACAATGGTAAAGCTCCTTTGTAATAAAGATAAAGATTAGCTTTATTGAACCCCCATGGGGAAATGTTTTTTTGTCACAACAGCTCAAGAAACAGGAATATAATTATCAAAAATAACAACATATGTACATCAGATAACAAGAAGTTAAAAATCAAACATATGTACATCAGTATATAGTTAATATAAATAATGAATTGCAATGTTGTACTATTTTAAAGGAAATTTTAGCAGCTAGCTTGTACAATCTAGTCCTATAGTACATCAGCAATAATGTGTGTTGCATAATGTTCACTATAGCATATTAAAATTTCATCTGAAACAACTACTGTGAATCGTATTTAATGAATTCTTCCAAATCAGACTATTAATTTCATAATTAACTGAATGACTAAATTATGTCAGAGAGGGACCCCTGTAATGATGCTCTATATTCTAAAAAACATTACTATAATATTTGAGTAATTTAAAAGTCTGAAGACCAACTTTGATATTATTTCTAGGCCTGGTTGTTATCTGTTTGTAGAGAAAACATCACCAGGGAGAATAAAATCTGTTTTTATTCTCTGATTACATGTAAAGAAACATCCAGCATCATAATGGTCATAGTCTCTAATTTATGGGTTATGTCTCAACTTAGAGCAGTGTGTATTTCTTCTCACTTAGGTAACTTAGAGAATCATTTGCAATATTACTGTAAAATCATTCATCTTCAACATGCCATACCCTGTAATCAGTTTAATACACATATCATTGTTTGTTTTATTCATTTCATTTCTCAAGAGATACCAGTCTTTGCTTGCTATGATTCTTCCCTCATGACAAGTTGTGGAGGCAGAGGAGAACTATGTTGTTACCAAAGGGATTGGTAACATTTGTAAAATAGTAGTTATATGAACTGTAAATGATGCAGTTCTGTGCTCTGAGGCTACGGTGTTGACAAATGGCTCTGTGTAGTTTGAACAGAGTTGAGCTGAGCCTTCTTTTTAAAGCTGAGAGTGATTCCTTCTGCTTTGTTAAACATTAACTGTAGCGTTTAAAAGGCTGACCCGAGCAAACTGAGGACCGTCTGCTCACTAGAAGAAGACCCATTGTGTCATTTTAATTTCAAATTGTGACCAAGTGTGTGTGGGCTGATAGAATCATAATGTCAAAGAAATTAACAAAGCTCAAAAATGGATCAACTGACTTGGAAAATGGAAAAAGACTTTGGAAATAAATGTGGTCTTTGAAAATGAATCAATGAGATAGAGAAAGCAACTGAATATCAGAGATGCAAATGAGGTTGAAGTCGAGCTGACCGAAAACGCAGATGAAGTCGGCACTGAGTCTCCTGAAAGTGACACAGCAGAGCTGTCAGCAGAGCAGCAACCCAGGCAGCCGAGATAAAAGCAAGAGCATCTGATAGCATGTGCATGGTTGCAGAGGACTTGGTTATCAGTTAATGATTTCCTTCTCTGAGTATTTATTTTCAATCTTCCTCTCATAAACAAACAGCCATAGCTCAGTCACTAACAGTAGTTCATTTCTTCTCATAATAAAAAGGATTTGATTGAACAAACTTGTTTAAAATGTTAATTAGATTCCTCATTTTTTTTTTCTTCCTTCGAGTGAAACTAAAATAATTACAAAAAGAAATTAACAACGGCTTTACCGAGGTAATATGAAAAATAAGACAAAGCAAAGTGCTTTTCATCAAAGATTAAACTACTATAGGACACCCATTCTTTGTCACTATGGTAACTTTAAACCCTGTTTCTTTTAATCCATAAGCAGCAGACGGTGTTGTTCATTACCACCCTGAGAGCAGCAACCAGTCGTCCTACTGCACTCCACCGCAGGATGTGTGGGCTGACGTTTCTCAGGTTTATATGAATTAATTAATCAACCTCAGATTCAGGGGGAATGGCAAGGATGACCTACTGAACTTTAAGACTCATGGAGATCGTGTGTTTGAGGCCATCGCACCAGTCCTTTGGAATTCCCCAACCATCTCATTAATTAGCAGCTGAAAAAGTTTATATTTAGACAGGCCTGTGGGTAATCATGTCCACCCAGTCTACCTTTTGATCTATGTTTTACTGCGCCAATTATTGTTCATGGTCATAGCAGGAATTTATACTGTCGGTCCATGGACTACTCGCTTGTTCCTGTTTTGAAGTAAAGCACTTTGTGAGCGTTGTCTGTGAAAAGTGATATATAAATAAACTTCACTTACTGACTTACTTAGTGTAATGAATGGCAGGATAAAAAAAAAGCAAAATGGTCCATTAGGACTTCTGCAAAACGATGGCACACTGTCAGTCATTCCACAAAGCAGAGAACAGCAGAGGAGTAATAAATTATTACTAATAATATTTGAGCTTTAAAGATGGTTTACAATTGAATAATTAACCAATGACAAAGTATAAACTAGGTAAGTAAATAATATTAGAGATGCTTCATAGATGTTTTAAAGTAATCTCTTTAAGATTTCATTAACTGCTTAATACATTATATAAAATTTTGCGACGTGTGCAAAATTTAACTGCTAATAAATACACTAAACACAATATAAATGCAACACTTAAGTTTTTGCTTCAATTTGTCCTGAGTTGAAATCAAAGATCTTAAACTTCTTTATGTAGACAAAAGGCTGATTCCTCTCAAAATCTGTTCTCAAATACGTTAGTGAGCACTTCTCCTTTAAATCCATGTCTCCTGTCATTATGTGTGGCTGAGCAGGAGGTCAAAGAGACAATGTGTACATGTGGGTTTGTGTTTGTTTGTGTGTGTGTGTCTCAAGATGATCGATCCCAGTAATTAGAGTGGGAAACAGTGGAAAGCAGCAGTACAGTTTTATAATGAACAGAGATACCAACGTATAGCAGAGCAGCAAAAAGGAGATACAGGAAATATACCTGGTAAAGAGACACTAAGTGAGTGAGAGAGCGAGAGGCATTTAAGATAATTACTACTTGTTTCAGACCACCGCAGAGCTAATGATTTTGGCTATTATCATGGTTTTCAATTTTAGCTGCAGAAGCTTTGAGATGAGCTACCAGAGATTGACGAAGTAGATTCTAGTGATCTCATTATTAACACAATTAAAGAGTTAATAAAGAGCTGGCCGCTGTGAATCAAACTGCTACATTAAGATAACCGCCCTGTGTGTTTGAATGTGTGTGTATGAGAGAAATGCAGCCAGACTGTTAGCATATAGCTTCTCCTTTAACTGATTAGCATAAACAATACATCTCACCACAGGAAAAGATTCTTCTAAAAATGAAGAAGAGTACCTTCACACTATTAAATTACCACATTTCATGGTTAGCTGTAATCATTTTGAAGGCTTAACAAGGCTTAAATACTCCACTTAATAGGCTTAACTGCGAATGACTAAAAGCTTAACAGAGTCATCAGTTTTTCTCACATGGAAGATAAACGGGCTCCAAACAGGTGGGCATTTAAACAACAGCTACCTGTGTTTACAGCAGCACAAATCAATATGTCTACATTTACAGTGGGTCACATGACTTTGTGTTATGTGAAATGATTAGCTCATAGTTATCAGACACTGAATTACTCTGCATTACCTCTCAGCTCTTAAGGGCCTTTTAGCGTCCTTCACAGCCTTTCTGTTTTGGCTCAGTCCATCTATGATCATAAACTTAGCTGCAGTTTTAGAAGGGACCAGAAACATTTTAAGAAGTAGAGCAATCGTTTGTTTTCATACTTTCAAGCAAGTGAAGTGATCTTTCAATCTCATCATTTGTGCTTTTTGCTAAGGTGAAAGAATTGTTCTTTTCCCTGTGCCCCTTTGGGTTTTCTGGTAAAGGAAATAGTTATATTACAAGATTCAGCAAACTCTAAGATACATGCTGTTCATATTTGAACCTACAGTAGGTGAATGCTTCTCATAAAACATTTGAAATCTCATTATGCTAACAAAGTAGAATCCTGCATTTATGAATACCAATACATTTATGTTTTCCTGCATATTACACAAAACATGCACAAGAAAAACCATAATAGTTCTGCAGCACTATTAGAGATCAAAAGCTATACAGAGAAACTTCTATCGTGCTGTGGATTGTAGCCATTATCAGCAGCTATGTTTTACGACCTCTCTTCCTGCAGGACTCAGGACCGTGGATTAACATGTTGTCTACTTTTACCAAGGAACAAAGGAACTGATCAATGATTTAAGTCTCCCTCTCAGACAGGATATTATGAACTTTTACAACACCTTGAATAAACAACCGAGCGGAAACAGAACACTCTTCTATCTACGAATTGACCCCAAAGGCATGAACTGTGACCGAAACCAGTCTCTGCAAAGTTGTAAAATTGACCATCTGTTGAAGGACAGCTTTCAATTCTGCATCAAATGAACATTTATGTCTTTCTTCATCTAGATATTTGTAATTGTCACATTGAATGTATTATAATCATCTTTTTAAACTCACAATCTGATCTTCAGAATAGGAATAAGAGTTATATTATGTTTAATAGGAATTTCACGTGGAGCGCTATTGCCATCTAGTGTTAGAATATCCATGAATACGTAACCTTTATAATTATACATTTAGACGTGTTATAAAGCATACTCTTTGATATTAGCTATAGAAGGTGTTATTTAAAGACACCAATTTCTTTTCCTACTTTATTAATATGTATTATTAAGAATGTTGACTGTATAACATGTTTTTGTTCACCTACAGGCTGGGATTAACTGAGGATGTTCCCAGATGGTGTGATTTTCATCTCAACATGAATCTGACAGAAATGTTTGTTTAAATATATGACGTGAACCTACATCAACGTGGATCTGATAGAAATGATATCGAAATGAAT